AGGGTCATCATGGACTGTGACCAGACCATAATGAAGCCAAGGACACCTTTGGGCAGTTACACCATGCTCCAGGCCATACTCTGAGTTCTTTTCTTTACCTCTAGTTCTCAAATAGAGTGACTTCTATTATTCTCATTTTACAGATGTGGAAGCTGAGGCACAGGGGTTAGGTGGTTAACATCTCACAGCTGGTAAGAGGCTGGGCCACAGCTGGCTCCTTCTGTGATTACTTCTCCAGTTGTTTAGCACCCAGGGCTACCTTCTTGTGCCTCTCGTGAGCCCAGCCTGATAGGCCCTGCTCAGGAGCGGCGTTCTTCCCCTCAGAACCAGTCCTTCCTTACATTTAGTGCTGTGGAGCCACAGCATCCTGCTTTAGATGACCACTGAGTCGTCACCTGGGAGGTAGAGGCAGGAGGTGCAGAACTTCAGGGTCATCTTTGACTGCAGAGTGTGTTGAAGGCAGCTTTGGACACTTGGGGCTCTGTCACACAACAAAAGGAAACGAAGAAGGGCAGCCAGGTGTGGCTTATGCCTGTAATCCTAGCACTTGGTGGGAGAAGGTAGTCTAAGGCAGAAGGACCACCTTAGGTCTGAGGCTAGCCTAGGCTATAGTGAGTTTCTGGACAGCCTGGGCTACCTGTCCCAAAAAATACAAATAAATAAATAAACCAACAAAGAAATAAAGGAAGCAAGCAAGCAAGCAAAGAGAATAAAGGAAGACCTAAACCCACTGGCATCTGGGGCATGAGGTGCCTTGACATGAGCTACAATGGGCTTGCACAGCTATGCTTGGGCTCTCTTTGCAACTCACATGGCCTCTCTTGGGCTGGTCCGACTCATTGCCAGTGGCTTTCTTTAGCAGACAGTCTGTATTTCTGGCATCTCCAAAATCCTGGGGGCTCGGCTCTAATTTAGGCTTCACATTCACAGCTTTACCTATTGCCTCCTTGCAGGACTTTGGTTCTTAGGCTGTTTTCTCCTTTAGACAGGGCCTTCCTCTGTAGCTCAGGCTTATCTCAAACTCATGACACCCTTCTGCCTCAGTCTCCCAAATGCTGAGGTCACCATACTCAGCCCCAAATTTTTGATGTAAACATGGCTAAAAGTAGCCAGCAATATTCACACCACAACCCTGAAGGCTGAGATTTGATTAACTAGTCCTTTATTTTAAAATTCACCCTCACATAAAGTCTCAGGGCATGGCATAACGTAGGTGAATTCCTGTCCAGAATATATGTGAATGACGTCTTGTGCAAACCCTGTAGTCTCCATCTCTCCCTGAAATATCATCAGTATAATCTTTTCTACCCACTTCCTATCATCATTCTGCTCCTGGGAGCTCCCACCAGAATGGCGTGGTAGAAGATGAACTCACAGAGCTTGGCGGTGCTGTACAACTATAATCCATAGAGAGGAGACAGAGGCCGGACGATCTCTCTAAGTTTGAAGCCAGCCTCGTCTACATAGTGAATTCCAAGTCATCAAGGCTACATGGTGAGACTCTGCCTCCAATAAACAAACTGAGATTACTGACCCAGTAATTACTGACCCAGTGGTTTACTCTTTTAATCCCAGCACTTGGGAGGAGGAGGCAGGAGGATTGCTGCAATATAAAATCAGCCTGGGCCACAGAGAGAGACCCTGTTTCAACAAAAGGGAACAAGACGAGCCCACCTTATTCCATCCGAGGGCTTCTCTAGCCCACACCTCCAAACTTCCAAACTCTTCCTATAGACCAGTTGCTCTGAGCGCTTACAGGCTGGGTGGTCACAGTAACGACCTCACTTCTCTGGGACCAGTTTCTTGTACGAGTTGCATTGGTGTCACTCTAAGAAAACAGCTGAGAAAAGCGACCAGAGGGAGGAAGGACTGAACTGTTCCGAAGGCTTAGTGTGCACTCACTCCACCTTACAGCTGGGCAGACAGCATTAAGGAGTGTCATTTTTAGTAGCCAGGAAGCAGATAGAAAAGAAGGCTGCAGCCATGTATAACTTCAAATGTCCCCCAGTGCTTTAAAGAGACATTTCACATTCACATCATAAAAGGGAGACACAATAATGAGAAGGAGGATCCACGGACTTTCTCCAGTTCCATAACCTAGGCTCAACACCCCTTACCGACTGTGAGCTCCACCCACTCCTCTATGGCCCCATGGCTTGCACAAATGAGGCTCCTTACCAGGGAGTGCCACCACGAGGGCAGGTGTCTTCGTGGAGGATAGCAGCTGCCGGACCATCCCATCAGACACTAGGAAGGCAGTGGCTGCGAGCAGCTTCTATCCCTGGACTGCCTCCCAGGCTCATCCTCTCAGCAAACAGTTCTGAGCACAGCTGAAGACCAGGTGACCACTGCAGCTGGGCCCTCTTCCAGAGCTGCTCACTAAACTCTTCCTTTTGAGGTTTCTGCAGATCCACATGCTGTGGTATGTATAAAGCTCCATGTGCCCTTTACCTGGTTCTCCGTAGAGCCTCAGGCAGGATACCCAGTAGCTGCTGCACCTTCAACCAGGAGACTGGCATCTTTTACCCATCCCATATCATGCAAGAGCAGGTGTGTGTTCAGTTCTGCTTGGCTAGCCTTGCACTGTAGCATCCCATCCACTCATCCTCAAGAGCCCGTTCAGTGGCATAAAGTGTACTCACATTGTGTAGCCATCACTGTCCACCTCAGGAACATGTTTTGTTTCTAGACAGGGTTGATGTATAGTCTAGGATTAATCTTCTTACCTCAGTCTCTAATTGCTGGGACTATAGGTATGTTTTTCTATTCCTGGATCTCAACAATGCTTTCATTTTCTCACTAGTGCTCGACACAGGCCAGACATGAAGTTCTAAGTTGCTTTTCACACATGTAGACTCTGAGGACCGCTCTTGCTGCCTGCCCCTGACCATCTGGGCTACTCCTTTAGTTCCAGTGGTCAGTTAGGATCTTGAGGACATCTGCATTTAGAGTGGTATCCTTAAAAAGAGAACAAGTTGGGTGTGGTCTCCCACACCTGGAATACCAGTGCTTGGGAGGCTGAGGCAGGAGGATTATCCGTTTGTGGTTATCCTGAGCTACACAGTAAAACCCTGTCCACAAAGGGGGACAGGGAGGGAAGCAGGGTAGAGGGGCAGGGAGGCAGTGGCCCATCAAGATGGAAGTAGGTATTAGAGTAATACATGCACAAGTCAAGGTCATCTGGGGCCAACTCTGGAAAGACCCTTCCCAGAGTCTTAAGAGGGAGCAAGGCTCTATGCCACCTGCCAACCCTGATTTCTGGTCTCATTTTATGTGTAGACAGCTCATCTTTGCTCATACTACTTCTTGGGACTCTGCTGGACTTCTCCACCAGAGGAGGTGCAGGCTGGGCTATGTGATGGGCACTGTGGGGCCCAGATAGCAGAGTGAGCTACAGGGCGCTTGAAGGCCCAGTCAGTGTCTCCTTGTTGATCAGGGCAGACACAGGGTACCCAGACAGGAAGGGTGGGAGCCAAGCACTACTTACGAGCAGCAGCAGCCAAGGTCCCATGCCATCTGCTATCCAGACACTTGCTGCTCATGACTCAAATCATCATGGAGGAAAACCTGATGAGGCTCTGACTGGTTAGGAAGCCTGCAGCACCCCTCAGTTTGCCGAGGCGTTTTCTGTCCCTCGACACAGGATGAGCGTCTTCCTGCTTCTATTTCAACAAAAGCAGGAAAGAAACAGGGTAGGGGAGTCTCTGTGTGTAGAGAAGGGAAGTGGAAGAGGGACGTCTGCAATGCTTTGACAGGCCTGGTAGTGGCTTTGAGGACAAGCTGACAGCAAGGGTCCCTTCCTTGTGTGCTCCTGAAGCTCTACAGGAGCTGGAGGCTAGGCTCCTGGAGCAAAGGCGTCAGGTCTGAGTGGGGAGCAGAGCCTAAAGCTGGGAAGGGGGACTCTGTTCCCCAAATCTTGGTCTCCATTCTCAGCCCTGCTTCCAGAAAGTCCTGGGAGTAGCCAGGATGCAGAAGATGCCCATAGGCAATCAGTGACAGATGACTGTCAACAGGAGACAGATTGTGGAGTCCCAGTAAGGACAGGCTATACCCCACAGGCAAATGTGCCAGAAGAGAGCACCCAGGAACAGAGGGAAGCTGGCTTGCTGTGCTGTCTGGGAAATGTCACTAGTCAATGGGGACAGATGTTGGAAGACGGGAAGAATCCAGAAACAGAAGATTGGGAAACAACACAGGGCAGATGTGTGCTCCAGACAGCTTGCCATAGCGCTGCAGCTCCGCCATGCTCCCTATGTCCAGACTGGGCTACTGAGGGGAGAGGCCAGCAATATCCCAAACGGTTATCAGAAGCCCAAACAACTCTTTGGAAATGGCCAGGAGAGAAGCATGGAGTTCAGTTTAAGGCAGGGCAGGGCTGCTATCCTTTCAAGTGAAGAGGAACCCATTTAAGCCTGGGACTTGTCACTTCATTCATCCCACAACCATACGCACTCATTAGGTATCTGTTGGGGCCAGACCCCTGAAGTTTCTGGGGAACAGCCTATAACCATTGGCCCTGTACTGGAGGCAATCACAGCCCCATGCTGCCTGTGACCCTTCCGTGATGCAAGGCAGCAGTAACCACCTCAGAAACGGCACAGTAGGCATCTGTTAAGATGCTGCTGCACAGCCGGACATGGTGGCCCATGCCTTTAGTCCTAGCACTCGGGAGGCAGAGGCAGGTGGATCTCTGAGTTTGAGGCCAGCTTGATCCACACAGCAAGTTCCAGGCCAGGGATACACAGAGAAACCCTGTCTCAAAACCTTACCCACCTTAAAAAAATGCTTCTGCTACTAGGTAACTGGCCATCTCTGGCTCCTACTTGTGGGGAATCCAGTGGAGGTAAGTAAGTCTGTGGGAACAGAAGGTGGACTGGGGTGTGAGCAACCAGAGAGGGGGAATTCCAATGCAGATAGTTTCTTCTGGGGATGGAATTGTGAAGAAAATAGGTAGTGGGGATGGTTGCACAACCTTGGAAGTCTTACACAATGCAGTGACACACTATTAACTATTTTTTATTTTGTTTTTGAAACAGGGTCTCATGTAGCTCAGGGAGGCTTCAAACTAGAACTAGAACTGAGGATGTGACCTTGAACTTCTGGCCCTCCTGCCTCCACTTTCCAAATATGACTACAGGCATGTGCCACCCCGGATCACTGCTTCATGTACTGCTGTGGATGGAGCCCAGAGCCTTGCATGTGCCAAGCAAGTGCTTTGCCATCATGCCACACCACAGCCTGAGATAGCACGACCTGTTTTTCTTTTAAGTATATGGGTGTTTTGCCTGCATGTGTGGCTGTGCACCATATGCATGCAGTGTCCTTGGAGGCCAGAAAAGAGGGCATTGGATCCCCTGAAACTTGAATTGTAGACTGCTGTTAGTTGCCAGGTGGGTGCTGAGAACTGAACTCAGGTCCCCTGGAAGGACATCCAGTGTTCTTACCAGGTGACCTGCCAGCACCCCCCTTACTTATTTTGTGTATGGGTGTTTCCCCTACATGTATGTGTGTACTGTGTGTTTGCAACAATAGTGTGACTTTAAATGAGCTTCTTTATGACCTACAAACACTCCATCCCTGAACCAATGACAGACCAGGTGCCATTGTGCAGAGACTAAGTTCTTCTCTCCAAGAACACCAGCTGGGGAGGAAACCAGCTTCAGAAACAACCCTCCTGGGCTGGTCCCAGGGTGATGAGCAAACATGCTCTGGGGCATGGTCCTGGAGCTGGCTTTTTGGCGTCAGCAAGACTGTACCTCAGTAGCTTGAATGACTGAGTCCGGGCCAAGGACTGTTGGTGGTTCCAGGACACATGGCAGCTCTGAGGGGTCAGCCCACCTTCAGGCTCTAGAGAGGCATTTTGAGGTCTCTAGAGCACAGCGGCCACAAAGATGAAAGCCAGTGGTGGATAATTAATGCTCTCAGGCTTGGCCTGACTACAAAACCCTTTTTGGTGGCCTGAAAGAGAAAGCCACAGACATGAGACCCGCCCTGGCCTCCAGAACGCCAGGACCTTTGAAATTATAAGACATTAGAATAAAGCTTCACAGAAAAGGACCCTGTGTTCCAGCTGCAGATCAAAACGGAATTGCTCCCGAAGGCTGAGGGCAAGCTTGCTGTTGAAGCAGCCCCACCCCAGCATACAGAGGGACACTCGTCCATGTGCCAGAAGCATGACTAACCTCACTCCGGGCAGAGGTCTCCTCAAAAGATGGGGCTGCGCATTCCATCTGTCTCCTCATTGCACTGCTAAGGCCCTCAAGGCCACACTAAGGCAAAGCTTCCCTGGGGGAACGTTCTGGGACATACGGTCCCCGCCCCGTACCTCCTGGGGTCACCCTCCAAACGCAGTGCTGGGGGGGTAAAGTGGTCCTTGCTGGGGAAAGGCTGGTGTTGACTCTCAGGGCAGAGTGGTGGCAGTACCTGCCACCAGGGATAAGGACCCTGCCATTCTTTCATATGCCCTGCTGAGCTGAGGCCACCTATCAGGAATAATGCCAGAAATTCAAGGTTCACATCTCCTTTGGTTGACAACTTGCTGGCGCATCCTTGATGCACAGCCAGAGGCTGCGTGCCTGGGTCGGATATTGGGTGCATTCAGTCGTGAAGCTCAAGGCTGCCTTGGTGTTCAGCCCCCACAGAGCTCAGCACAGCGTTGTTCTGGGAACAACGGGGAAGGAGCTGGCCCTTGCTGTTTTCCTCAGTCAGCTGGCACTGGAGAACAAAGCATGGCCACTGCACCCCACCTCCCTGACATGCTAGCACAGTAGATGGCACCAACAAGGCTCTGCGGGACTGTGGGCAGACCCAGCCCCACAAGAAGCCAAGGCTGCTGTCGCAAATACCGCCATGCACGAGAAGCCCAGCCATGGCTCCGCTGCTCTGTTGCGTTTGCCCAGGCCGCCTGGCAGCAGTGTTTGCTACCTTCAGCCAGCAGCACTGTCCTCCTACTAATGAGGTGTTAATTAGCACAAATGAGTCAACCTCGGCAAACCAGTCAGCAAGGGTGACAGGCGTACAAGCACTGGGGAGCAGTTCAGGTACCAGGTGGCACAGAGTACCCATCACCCTAGGCCAGGGGGTGGGGGCAGTCAGGTGGCACAGAGTACCCATCACCCTAGGCCAGGGGGTGGGGGCAGTTCAGGAGTGTGCTCCAAATTGGTGTGAAAACAAAGACATTGACACGCTCAAATATTTCCAAGTACTTTCTCTCAGGTGTTCAACGCTGCCCACACTTGATAATAGGTTTGTGTTTGCTTCCGGTGACTGCTGGCCACCCTTGCCCCATGCTGGCCCAGGGGCATGAATCCCTGTGCCCACTACCACCTGAAGGGCTGGCGGCCCTGCTCCAGCTCGGCGTCCATGTGAGCATCGTGCAGCACCTTCAGGTGCAGAAGCAGCTGCTCCAGGTTCTCTCCAGTCAGTGCTGACAAGGCGATGACTTCCTGTCCTAGGCGGGCTTGGAGCTGGGGCAGGTGGGCTCTGGCCTGCGGGAGATCAATCTTATTTGCGATGATCACATGGGACCTCCCAGATAGGCCTTCTTCATACTTCTCTAGTTCATATTTTAAATCATTAACCTGAGTCCACGGCTCAGGCAAGGAAAGATCTACCACAAACAGGAAGAAGTGACAACGTTCAATATGCCTGAGGAAGCTGAGCCCCAGGCCCTTGTTCTGGTGTGCGCCTCGGATGATGCCTGGGATGTCTGCCACTGCAAGAGGTAAGAGCTTAGTCAGGTCCAGGGTCATGTTCAGCTTCCCAGTGCCACTCTCAACCTTGGGATCTGGAGGCTCCCCTCAGGGAGACCCCTTCTGGCCCGGATCTCATGTTCTACAACTTTCCTTTCAAGGAACACTTGAAATTGAAGCCATTTATCCTCCCCCTCTCCCCGGTGACTGAGCAGGTCAAGTGATATGAAGGCACTTGAGCTCTCACTCAGGTCTGCAACATGCTCTCAAATATTTGGGTGACAGGCATGGTGGATCAATCTAATGAGGAAGATTTAACACATTCCTGTCTCCAGGCTTCAAACATGGTTCAGAAAAGGGAGATGGCTCTCTGCATTCTATGGCTAATTTGATTATGGATACAAATCACTATCGTGCACTTTGCAGATATAAAGTGCTGTACAAATAACCTTACCAGCAGGCTTGCTATTTTTAATGGGTACATTATCTTCTGGAAAAAAGTTTTCCTCTTAAAATGGTACAGGAAAGGCTTTTTAAACCACATGCTGTCTGCATGACTGATGCCGCCCAGTTCCACAGGAGAATGAGGAAGGCAAGAGGCAGTCCTCTTCTCAAGCTCCAAACTCAAGATTACAGCTCCCAACTAAAGAGATCAGATTTCTTGGCTGGGAGGGGAGGGGCTGATTTTGACAAAGAACAGACTCATTAAAATTGTTTCAATCAGGGAAAACAATGTCTCATTTTAAGTGGGAAGCTAAACTCAGGGGTTACATAATTGCTCTCCTGAATCACTGGGCCATTTAAATCCATGCTCGGGCAGGGTTTTAGAGGCTCTACCTGCGACCTGTTGGTGGCCTTCATAGTGAACGATCCCCACGTGAGGGTTCAAGGTGGTGAATGGGTAGGAAGCTACGGCAGGCTTTGCATTTGAAATGGCTCGAAGAAGAGAAGATTTCCCAGCATTGGGGAAGCCAACCTAGGGGAAAAAGTGCTATGTGACTTCATGGAGGGACGATGTCAATGCCACCAGTAGTTGGCACAGATAGAGGGCTGGGCTTGGGTAGGTGAGGATGCAGGCTCCTGCTCTGCAGCAGCATGCGCAGGAAATGAAAGAAGGCTCCCGCTTTCCCCTGGGAGGCAGCATGCCCCACCACCAGAGCATACCCCACCAGCAGGGACCCACCACCTCAGGATGTGGCACAGTCAGGGACCTACCATCCCAGCATGGGCCATTGTCTTGAGCTCCAGGTAGAGGACCCGCTCCTGACCCGGTTGTCCAGGGGTACAAGTTACAGGGGCACGGTTGTCATTGGCCAGGAAAAAGCGATTGCCTTTTCCTCCTGCACCCCCCAGTGCAGCAATGTACTCATCTCCTGGGTGAGATAGGTCAGCCACAACCTCACCTCCCTCTTTCACCAAGGTACCCACAGGAACCTGAAAAGCATCATAAGCATCATCATCATCATCAAGTTCTGTTCTATAACCAGCAGCAGGAGGAGGGGTGGGGCACTGCTAACCACTCTCCTCAGCTACCACCACAAAAAAAAGTCCCAGCCCTGGAGAGATTTTATGGGCCTAATCTTATGCCCATACTGCATAAGTAAGCTGTCATAGTAACACTTGCCTTCCAGCACTCAGGGGGCTGAGGCAGGAGGATTACAAGTTCAAGGACAGTCTGGGTCACAACAGCAAACACCCACTTGTACAAGGGTTCTTTTGAAGTGTTGCTATGGCATCAGAATCACCCAAGCAGCAGGGAAACAGTCTGTGTGAGCATGCTGCCCTGACCTAGACACGGGAAGGGTTATGTTCTTGGCTCCCGTTTTAGGGTCATTCCTTTAGACTCTCTTAGCAACATGGCACCACACCAGTGCAAAGGAGTGTGGGGGGATATGGCTCCTAAGACAGACCACTGTCCACTTCTGTTCCTGGCCAGGTGCCTTCAGTCATCCATGGACTCGGTGACTAGGACCCAAGGGAGCAGCGGCCACTCCAGCCCCTCAGCTCACCTGGACGTAGAGGGAGGCACCACTCCGCCCAAAGCAGTTTTTACTGCCACCATCTTCTCCACTGAGACCCTGGTACTGGGACGAGACCGAGGACAAGGACTTCACCTGCTGGTCAACTAGGGGGAGAGCAGAGTCTGTGTTCCTGTGTGTTGACATAACCACTAAGCAGGGACAGGGGCCGCACACTGGTCACCCTTGCCCTCCCCTGGCCTGGGTTATGGCTGGCTGCCCACACTCTCCATGATCCTAACCGAAACAGAATATGACATTTTTTTCCCTTTGAGACAGGATCCCTATGTATCCCTGTAGCCCTGGCTGGCCTGAAACTTGCAACGGGAAGGGATCACCATATGAAGCAAATATGACTATCACCAATTAAGAAAGCAAAAACAAAAAGTCACCTAAGGGGCTAAAGAGAAGGGCCAGTGATTAGGAGCACTGGCTCTTCTTCCAGAGGACCCAAGTTTGATTCCCAGCATCTAATGGCAGCCTACAACTGTCAGAATTCTAGTTCCAGGAGATCTGATGGCCTCTGCAGGGTACACACACAGACATACACTTAGGCATAGTACCCATACCCATGAGAATAATAAAAGAAACCAGCTAACTTCATTATGCTTTGGAGATGCCTGCACCTAGCTCCCTGAGGATTCATGCCAAGTATGTGCTCAGTAGAACCTAGGCCCTCTGTGCACTTTCTGACCCTGTTATATGTACTATCATGATGTTCTTGATGGGCAACCGAGTTTCTGAGATTACAAAACAAAAATGACATCCAAAGTCATTTGCCTTAATACACTGGTGATGAGCAGCCATATAGTTCATAAAAATGCTATCTATACATCAAGTATTTGAATGCAAATGCATGACAAGATAAACAGTGGACCTTCCACCCACTATGTATAGGCTGTCTCCTCCCTGGCTGTTCCCAGGGCACATGCCTCTCAGAATGATGTGTCCACCATTTCCTCCATCCCCGCCATCAGGACCTCCAAACTCCTTGCGGGGTTCACTGTGGAAACAGCTCATGCCGGATCCTCCATTTCCTCCACGGACTAGAACTCTCCGGTGATCCACAAAATGTCTTTTCTACAGAGAATATAAGGTACCCAAGGATGTTAGCAACCCTGAAACCCTTCCAGGAGACACACATACATGCAGGCAACACACACACAGCACTCACTTGATACATGCCTCTCTACCACATCAGACGTGAACTGTGCTAACATGATCACAGAGCTCTCCAAAGCCACAGGTGAGGCCCAGCTCCCACAGGTCACCAGCACCCGAGGGCTGAGGTAAATCACTGCAGACACAACGGGTGGCTGGCATGGCATGCACACTTCAAAAGGGAACTCAGAAATTCTAACCTGGAGAGCACAGCTTGTTTAGGAAATGTTTCCTGAACAAAGTGTCCTTCCAGCTTCTTTCAGACAGAATTGCATTGCTAAAACACCAGGTCTGTCTTTACCAGTGGAAAATTGCTGCTGCTGCTTAGGATGGAATGAGGTGGAGTTCTTGGACAATGCCCAGGCTTTAGCTATGAGGAAAGACTTATTCCCCAATGTTACCACCTGAGGGCTTATGTGTGAAATGCAGGCAGAAAGGGAGAACCTTTTCAGGAAGGTTCTCATTTAGGCCCTTAATACAGTGAAAGAATAAGAATTAATCGACTGGGCTGGAGAGATGGTTCAGCAGTTAAGAGCACTTGCTGTTGTTGTGAAGGACCTGGGTTCGATTCCCAGTTCACAGACATCTGTAACTCCAATCCCAGGGCATCCAAAGCCCTCTTCTGACTTTGTAGGCACCAGGCACGCATGTGGCGCACATACACACATGCTGGCAAAACACTCATACTCATCGGTGCACATAAGCTCACCCTCCAGCTGCAGCTCCCTCCTCCATTTCCAGCACTGGGTTTTTAAAATGTTTATTTATTTTATGTGTATGTGTGTGTGTGCCTGACTATATGCATATGTACCATGTATGTGCAATGTCTGTGCCAGATCCCTTGGAACTGGAATTATAGGTAGTTGTAAGCTACTCTGTGGGTGCTGGGAACCGAACCCAAGTCCTCTGCAAGAGTAATAAATGCTCTGAACCACAGAGCCATTGCTCCAGTCCCCAGGACTGGACTGTTTTTTAAGGAAAAAAGATGCCCAGCCTGGTGCAGAGCTCAGCAGTACAACATCCACTCATCATGTTTAAGGTCCCAGATTTGATGCCTTGCACCACAAACATAAATAAAAAGTCCCCCAAACAAACCTTTTAGGATTCCTTGGCAGCAGGAGGAAAACCATGAGCTGCTACTGGGAAACAACGCAGGTTTGCACTGTGCCAGCAAAACCAGACTCTGCCTCACAGGAAAAACCACAGGCTGGACACCATCGGTTAAGACCCGGCACAAGCATGAGCGGCCAGGAGGGAAGAGCCCTGAGGAAACCTAGGTGCTATGTCCCTCAGCCTGGCTGCCAAAGTTCTTTTCCCTAAGAAGCATGGCTTTTTCTCAGCTGCTCATCTAGAGCCCCTCCACTAGGAGGAAATGAGGTGGGTCCAAATGTGTAACTTCTTTAGTCAAAAACCATCCAAGGTCTGGCAAACAGCATAAAAACTTCCTTAAAGGGCTGGGAGAGACAGTCAGTCAAGAATCTGCCTGCAGGCATAACGGCCTGGGTTTGATGCCTAGAACCCACATAAAAGTGCTGGTGTGGTGGCATATGTTTGTAATCCCCACGCTTTACAGCAGATGGGGAAATCTCTGCAGCTTCCTCAAGGCCCATGAGAGACTCTGTCTCAGAGTAAGTAGACAGTGTTCCTGAGGATGACACAGAGATGTCCTCTGGCCTTCATATACACAGTACCTGCATATAAACATGCACCTACATGCATCAAACAAACAAACAAACAAACAAACAAACAAACAAACAATATCTTATTCATTATAAGCCTTAAAGAACTTAAAACTAAAGATATACCCAGTCCCCAGGTTCAAAACAGAACAAGAATATTCAAAGACACCTAAATGCAAATAAATAAAGTAAATGTATGTAAAAATACTTTCAGGAGAGCTAGGCATGGTGGCACATGCCTTTAATCCTTACACTAGGGAGGTGGAGCCAGGAGGATCAGGATCCACAGGGAGTTAAAGGGCACCTGGATGGCATGAGCCCCAGTCTCAGAAACTCAAATAATGTTCTAAGGTGGGATTTACTTCAGTGGTAGAGCACTTACTTGCCTAGCATGCAAAGGCCCTGGCTTCTATCCCTAATATCCCAAACCAATCCATCAAATCAGTGCCTAACTCCACCTGCCCTTGACTCCTCCTGGACTATTGTGTTACTGGCAAGCTTTTGGCACACAGGGCTCTTTTCAAGAGCTCCATGCAGCCCTCAGTAGCACAATCAGGGAAAGTTATGGTGGGATAAAGAATGCAAAGATTGGCACTGGAAAAACAGCTGAGCAGTTAAGAGTACTTGCTGCTCTTCCAGAGGACCCACATTTGGATCACAGCACCTATATCTGGTAGCACACAACTGCCTGTAATTCTGAGGGATCCTACCCTTTACTCTGACTTTTATTGGTGGGCACGGACACACACACACACACACACACACACACACACACACACACACACACACAACTCAAATGTGTCCTCCATAGGTTGAGACTCACCAGTTTTTTCTCTGACAGCAGCTTCTTTCCGGAGGCCTCTTGGTGCTTAGCATGGTCTACAGTGCCCAGAGAGAACAATCTAGATGATGCCTGCAGTGAATGGAGCTGGCTGAGCTTCAGGGGAGCCCATGTGGATGGAGCCCACTTTGAAATACCCAACACAGTGGAGGACCTTGCCAAAAGAAGTCTGGTAGGTATCATGGCCCTAACAAAAGTCAGAAGGATCCAGTAAGACACTTGGGTTAAACTTGAACTTCTTCTTTTTTTTTTAAAGATTTATTTCTTTATTATGTAGACAACATCCTGCCTCCATGTAACCCTGCAAGTAAGAAGAGGGCACCAGATCTCATTATAGATGGGTGCCGGGAATTGAACTCAGGACCTCTGGAAGAGCAGTCAGTGCTCTTAACCTCTGAGCCATCTCTCCAGCCCTAAACTTGAACTTCTGACAGGCGCTAGAGCAGAGCCTGGCACATGGCAGAATCCAGAATGGACTGATCTGCTGGACTCCAGAGTGCAAGGGGGCTTCTGGGGCCCATCAGCCTATTTGCACTCAGGCCAGGATCTGTGCACACAGGATTCAGATAATTACATCTCTTGCAACAGTGAGTGAATCTCCCTGGAGAATATAATCTCCCTGCTTAGTGAGATTATTAAAAGGGAATCTAAACCTCAAATCAGAATTTCTCTAAAACAACAACAACAAAAAAAACAAAACCCAAAACAGCAATTTACTGAATTGTTATTGAAGAGTGTGCTCTTGGGCAGCTTAAAACTGTTAAACAGGAGCTGGGAGGTGGTGGCACACATCTTTGATCCCAGCACTTGGGAGGCAGAAGCAGGCAGATCTCTGAGTTCGAGGCCAGCATGATCTACAGAGCAAGATCCAGGACAGGCACCAAAACTACACAGAGAAACCCTGTCTCGAAAAACCAAAAACCAACCAACCAAACAAACAAACAAAAAACCCTGTTAAACAGGAACACAAAATCACTGAACAATGGCAAACGCACACCCAGACAAATGTCACCTTTGCCACTCTCCTGGGATGACCCAGGGAGGTCACACAGCTGCTGCCTCAGTCTTATCCGAAAGTGGAAAGGCAAGGACAGGCCAACTTACACGGGTGCACTGTGGCTCGTGTCCTACTGTGAATACAATGAACAGTTTCTGCACGGTCTCAGGCCTCTGTTCCTCACACAGCTCTCATCCTTTCAATTTCCTGAGAGATGAGAGTGATGGGGGCATCTGACCCAAAGCCACTGAGCCTGAGGGACTTTGGTTCTAATGAGATGATGTGGGCTCCTGCCCAGCTTCAGGATGAGGGCTGTCTTCACTAAGACTGTGTTCACCAGCCAACAGTGAAGCCTGAATTCCCACCACACATCCTGCAGCAGGAAAAACAGCTAGGGATATAAAGGTATGCCCCCATGATAGCACACCCACAAATCACTAGGCCACAGGAACACTGGGCTGCTAAACACACAGCATGCTGGGCCATACACCCCAGTCCAAAGGTCTTTTTGCCTGCCTGCTTCACAGAGACCTAGGGAGGCACCCTGAATCCTGCTCCTTTATCTACCTCCAGTTTACTCATTTATACATGCACACCTTCCCAGGTCAGTCCTCAAGCTAGTGGCAGTAGTCCGAGACTCCAGCAGCAGTTCATCCTGGAGTTCCAGGTCCTCCTGGCTCGTGCTGTGGGTCTCAACACCTTTCCCTGTCCACAGTGGCCACAGTCATGTCTTCCTCCAACACAGCCCTGCAGACAGCCTCACCTCCAGGAACCCTGGGACCCACATCTAGATGCTCCGTGACACTGCTGTCCCCTTTGAAGGACACAGCTCAAGTGTACAAGCACCCTTGTTTCTCCTTCACACTCCACACTTACACTTTTAGTCAGGTCTACACTGTCTGCCGGCGAGCGCAAACCCCCCTCCCCCTGCTGAAAACTGAAAGTTCACATAATGTGGTGGTTTGAATGAAAATGGCCCCCATAGGCTCATAGGGAGAGGCACTATTGGGAGGTGTGTCCTTGTTGGAGGAAGTGTCACTAGGGGTGGGCTTTGAATTTTGAGACGTTCAAGCCAGGCCCAGTGGCTCATTCTCTCTTCCCGCTGTCTGCTCATCTGGATGTAGAACTCTTACCTACCTCTCCAGCACCAAGCCAGCCTGCACGCCACCATGTTTCCCACCATGATGATAATGGACTGAACCTCTGAACTGTAAGCCAGCCCCAATTAAAATGCTTTCCTTTGTTAAGAGTTGCCGTGATCATAGTGTCTCTTCACAGCAATAGAAACCCTAACTAGGATACATATCCATTCTTGCAGTCCAGTATTGCTCAAATGATTTCTGTTTTGTGATTTCCTTTCTCCCTACAGTTTTTCTTCATGTGTCTAGTAACCAGCCTAGCCTCATGGCTCATTCCCTCTTCTCCCCATGCCGGGCCACCACTTATGGGAGATACATTCCTCCTCCTACCCTTCTATTAAAGTGTCCCTCCACCCCCAAAGACAGGGTTTCTCTGTGTAGCCCTGGATGTCCTAGAACTTGCTTTGTAGACTAGGCTGGCCTCCAACTCAAAGTTTTTTTTTTTTTACTTACTACTGTATTTTATAAGTATGGGTGTTTTGCTTACATGCATGTATAGTACATGCATGCATGTACTACATATGTACCTAGTGTCTGTGGTTGTAGAAGTGTATATTGGATCCCTTAGAACTGGAGTTACAGTTGTGGATACGAAGTGGCTCCTGAAAATGGAAGCCTAGTTTTCTGGAAGACTGCAGATGTAATTTTAACCACTAAGCCCTCTGAAAAGCGTTTTGTTTTTGTTTTAATTTCTACCAGTGCCAGGGACTGAACCTGGGGCCCATATACTCAAGGAAAATGCTTTACCACTGAGCTATAACCCCAGCCCTGTCTATAAAAGTATTTTTTAAAATTGTTTTGTTTTTCGAGACAGGGTTTCTCTGTGTAGCTTTGATGCCTATCCTGGATCTCACTCTGTAGACCAGGCTAGCCTCAAACTCACAGAGATCCACCTGCCTCTGCCTCCTGAGTGCTGGGATTAAAGGCGTGCACCACCACCGCCCGGCTCAAATGGACTTTTCTTTAATTATTGTTTTTTGAGATACGGTTTCTCTGTGTAGTCCTGGCTGTCCTGGAACTTGCTCTGTAGATGCAGCTGGCCTCAAACTCAAGAGATTTGCCTGCTTCTGCCTTCCAAGTGTGGAGACTAAAGGTGTACGCCATCATTGCCTGGCAACCAAATGGACATATCTTTAAAGATTCAAATAAACAAGAACAAACAGCCCTACATTTCCTCAAGAAATTGCATTTTCTAAGAAACAATATTCCCAAATTTCAGACTTGGTGGTAAATTCCTGGTAAATGCTATCAAGAAATAACCCCAAATTTACACATACTAGATCACTATCCAATCCACTTTATGAGATCAATGTAGCCCAGAACCAAAACCTAGCTTTCACAGAAAGCAGAATTAGAGGCCAGTTACCAGCAGGGTCTGGTGTGAGAGAATGAGGAACAGGGCAAGTGGCCAGGCCTAAGCATGCTCCATTTCATATGAAAGCATGAATGGTACCCCTGAGATTTAAGGGAAGGCAGGGATGCCCAAGTTCACTCCTGCAAACTGGCACTTTAAATGCTACAGTGGTCAAAAATGAGGAAGCTGTGGGGCTAGAGATGGCTCAGTGACCAAGAATGTGTTGCTCTTGCAGAGGACCCAAATTCAGTTCCCAGTACCCATATCAGGCAGCTTAACCATTTGTAACTCCAACACCTTGTACTAGGCTCCATGGAAATCTGCTCTTGGTGTACATAACCACAGACAGACAGACATATAATTTTAAAAATCTTTAAAAAAGAGGAAGAGGTAAACTGTTAATACTTGCAGGAGAGAAGACTGTCTGCACAGAAAACTCCAGTTAAGTTTATAAGGCAGTCTACAGGGCTGATTTAGAACATCAAGTATTCTTATATGCCAGCAGCAAACAATTAGAAATGAAAATTAAGAAAGCAAAACTGGCTGGGAGGTGGTAGCGCATGCCTTTAATCCCAGCACTTGGGAGGCAGAGGCAAGTAGATTTCTGTGAGTTCAAAGCCAGCCTGGTCTACAGAGTGAGTTCCAGGGAAGTCAGGGCTACACAGAAAAAAACATGTCTCAAAAAAGCCAATCAATCAATCCATCCATCCATCCATGCATCCATCAATCAATAAACAAATAAATAAAAAAAAGAGAGCAATTCCTTTTACCCAGTGCCACATATAAAAAGCACTTAAGGGTAAATTAAAAGTACATTTTAAAAAACTTATTTTAGCTGGGCGGTGGTGGCACACACCTTTAATCCCAGCACTCGGAAGGCAGAGGCAGAGGCAGAGGCAGGTGGATCTCTATGAGTTTGAGGCTAGTCCTGGCTACAGAGCAACATCCAGGAAAGGCACCAAAACTACACAGAGAAACCCCGTCTTGAAAAAAAATATATTTTATGAGTGTTTTGCCCACATGTATGTATGTGTACCACAGGAACACTAAGTGCCCATGGAGGTCAGAATAGGGCATCAGATCCCTTGGAACTGGAGTTCTGGATTGCTGTGAACCACTGTGTTTTGGGAACTGAATCTGGGTCCTCTGTAAGAGTAACAAATGTTCCTAACTGCTGAATCACCTCTCTAGCCCACTTGGAGATAAATTTAATAACAAACAAGCCAGATGTAGCTCATGCCTGTAATCCCTAGCACTTAGGAGCTGAGGGGAGCAGGATTTTCTTGAGGCCAGTCTAAGCTATAAAATGAGTTCCAGACTCTAAGCTACAGGGCAAGACTCTATCTAAACAAACAAAACCGCCAGGGCTGGTGGTGCCCATGTCTAATCTTTAGCAATTGAGAAGTGGAGGCAGTTCAAGACCAGCCTCAGCTACACAGTGTGAGGCCAGCCTGAGATACATGAGACCCTGCTTTAAAAACCAATCAGCCAATCAAACCAAACCAAGCAACCAGTAATCAAATACTCCAGATCCCTAGTGTACCATTTGCAGAATTCTATTCTTTTAAAAGTGGTTTCAGGGGGCTGGAGAGATGGCTCAGAGGTTAAGAGCACTGACTGTTCTTCCAGAGGTCCTGAGTTCAATTCCCAGCAACCACATGGTGGCTCACAACCATCTATAACGAGATCTGGTGCCCTCTTCTGGCCTGCAGTCATACATGCTGTATACATAATAAATAAATAAATCTTTCAAAAAAAAAAAAAAAAAAAAGTGGTTCCAGGGAATAACTCATTATGTCTACATAAGAAATCTATAAAGCAATTTATTTTATTATCCCCATTTTATAATGGAAAACCCTAAAGCAGAGAATAGGAACATAATTTACCAAGGTCCTGAGGTAGTTAGTAAACGAGAGGGGTAGGAATGGAGTAGGAACATAAAGGTTAAAAGCAAAATTCCTGAATCTGCTGTGGGCACTTGCTGGCACACTAGCAGCTAAATCTGCAAGGCACAGGCTGTCCATCATCCTAGCACTGGTGGAGCCAAATCCAAAGGATGGAACCAGCCACACATCCACTGGAACCTTGACTCGAAATTGGGCCTGCTTTGGCATAGTTTCTTCTTTCTGGCTTTTTCTTTCTTTCTTTCTTTCTTTCTTTCTTTCTTTCTTTCTTTCTTTCTTTCTTTCTTTCTTTCTTTCTTTCTTTCTTTCTTTCTTTCTTTCTTTCTTTCTTTCTCTCTCTCTCTCTCTCTCTCTCTCTCTTTCTTTCTTTTTGGTTTGGTTTTGGGACAAGGTCTCATCATATAGCCTTGGCTGGCCTAGAACTCATAGAGAACTGTTTGCCTCTCCCTCCAAGAGCTGAGACCAAAGGTGTGTGCTACCACAGCCCACTCCTTTCCAAATTTTCAATTTGTGTGTAGACTCTGAGTGATGTGGCCCCCTGCCAGGGAACAAATTCAATCTTTTCCCATTGCTGTTTGGCCTCTAATTGTCTTCCTAATGCTATTTCTGCATTGTCTTATCCAATGTCTACTAGCCACCCAAGACTGGCAAAGTTAAAATGAAATAAAATGGGAGCTGGGGAGATAACTCAATGGACAAGACTCTTCACTGTGTAAGCATAAGGACTTCAGCTGGGAATCACTCATTTAAAAAGTTAGGGTGGCCACGCACCTGCAATCAACACACACTACAGGTAGCCTGGGATAGGAAGATTCAAGGGCTTTGTTGGCTGTCTGGCTAGCTCCAGACTCAGTGAGAAGCCTGGCTTCAAGAGAACAAGGCGAGCATGAAAGAGCAGAACATTCGATGCTCTCTTACCTACACATGTGCACACTCACATGCATGAGCATGCACACTCACATAGTTCTTCAGTGCCACAGGCCACACAGGGCTATACCAGGCACCACAGATCAGGACATCGCCATCACAGAAAGTCCTAATGGGCAGGGTCTACCCGAAGCACACTGCAGAGGGAGCCTGGAAGAGTGTGCTCACTTCCCTTTGCTGGGCCAGTGAAGAAAGTCAGGGCCTGCAGCCTGACGGCCAGGTACTTTACACATTACACAGATCCTATACACAGGGCTTTCACAAACACGGAGCGTGGTGCTGACGGTGTGAAGGGTTTCACACTAGACACGGTCAATTCACTGCTGCTATCCAGGTTGCTGAGTTCCTGGCTACTGTCCACAAAAGGTACTGCCAAGAATCTTCTGTACTGAATTTTACAGTGTGTTGATTGAACTTATTATGTAGTTGGGATTAGAATATGTGCCACAATGTCTCCATTGAGAAAAAAACAAAGCATCCTGGAAGAGGGGATATAGTTCAGTTGGTAGAATGCTTGCTGGTCTAGCATGCACAAAGCCCTAGGACTGATCCCTAGAACCACATAGATCAGGTATGCCATGCCGGCACTTACCCTTACTCTCAGCACCCAGGAAGCAGAAGGAAGATCGGAAATTCAAGGTCATCCTCTATTGCACAGCAAGTTCAAGGCCAGCCAGGTGGCCAGAGATACATGAAAACCTGTCTTTGAGAGAGAGAGAGAGATTCTTGAGAAGTGTTTCCATTTCTTCAGAGTTGTTCTTTTACAGGATAGTCACTTGAAGCATGGCATATGCTTACCCAACAGTTATCCTTCAACTTGGGTCATAGTACTTACAGTTAACTAACTTAATTCTAAACATTTTGTTTCCATTTTGCTACAGGATATTAAATCCCACGGGGGCATTACTGTTTCTGCTACATACTGTTACGCTTCATTACATATATTTGTGATCTACTTCGTTTTTCATGTGGAAAATATTTAGAAACTGGAGTATTGTTCTGTCACTTGACAATTCACATTACATTTTTTTAAACTTAATTACTTGTCATTCATAGAAGAAAACGTGTCCCTGCTGTGTGTGGTGGCATATGCTTTTAATCCCAGCACACGGAAGCCAGACAGACATCTCTTGAGTTCCAGGCCAGCCAGGGTTACATAGGGAGAGCTTGTCTCAAAATCAAAATAAAGCACGTGTCTCTTTCAACCGCGCTGCTGGCGGGCGCCTGTCTGCCTATGGGGTCTTGTGGGATTTTTCATTCGAGAAACAGGAGGGACCGCTGCCCCCATTCCTAGCACTCAAGGTCCCCAGCGCGGGTCCCCAGCGCCCGCAGGGAAGCCTCGGACCGCTCCGAACTGTTCCCTAGTCTAGTCCGTTAGGCTCCTGCGGAGGAGCCCGGACGCACCTCCGTGGGTCCTCAGTGTGCGGAACGCTTCTTTACCTGATCTTTAAAAAAGCCTCCGCAAAGCAGCAGAGGCTGGGATTCAGGGTAAGTCAACTGCCGGGGTTAGGCGGCCCCCGGCCGCGCCTGTCTCTCACAAGCGAGTCTACCCGAGGAGTGCTCCATCAAGGCTTCCCAAGAGCCGGGCAAGGGGAAGTTCCTGCCAGTTTTCTGTTCAGGGCTCACTGTGCAGCCTAGCCTGGCTTCGAACCCCTGGAAATCGCTTCCCGGCGTGCACCACCACGCTCTATCTAAGGGAAGAACACATCTTCAGAAACCAGCTTTCTGGCGCTCGGGTTGGACGAGCCATCCTCACTAGAGCGAAGGCCAAGAACACAGACCCCGCCGCCCCGCCACCCCGCCGCCCCGCCGGCCGCCGCCTCAGAACCTACACCTGGGAAGCTCCTCGCCCGCACCCACCAGGTCCTGGCAGCTACGACATCCGGTCGCACGATTGCTTCCGGGTCGAGCTCAGGTCGCGGCTGCGCAATGCACCAGCGCGGAAGCACGGAAGGCGCGGCGCCGCCCGCAAGCCCGCTGTCCTGCCGGCGCGCACAGGGGGCTCCCAATTGTGTCTGCAATCCCGCCAATCGGGAAGCTGAGGCAGGAGGATCACCGTGAATTCCAGCCCTGCCTGGGATACACAGTGAGCCTGTCTCAGAGCCAGGGAGAAAGCAGGTGTGGGGGAGCACGTCTTTAATTCTAGACTTGGGTCACAGAAGCAGGGGAATCTCTGAGTTCGAGGCCAGCCTGGTCCGCACGCTGAGTTCCAGGCCAGCCAGGGACACACGGTGAGTCTTGTCTAAAAATCAAAACCGAAACTAACCAACCAAACAAAAAGAGGCTAAAATGAGATACGGTGCTTTAAAATTGTACTGCGTTCACAAATAGCAAGGTGGATTTAACCTGTTCAATAAACAGAAATGAAGTAATGGCTAAAAAAAATGTTTTAATGAAAATGGAAAGTCTTCCTCTTTTTACAATTTTGAATGGACGCTCGTTACTGAAGCCCACGCCTGAAAACTGGTACTACAGGATAGGATGACCCTTCCTTCCTGGTCAAGGCCCTCCTTTGCCCAGTGCCTCTGCAGACATCTCCAGTCTCCCACTGTGCTAAGCTAAGTCTGGAGAGGCGTTGTTCATCCAACCACAGCCCCAGACTCCGGGCTTCTGCCAAGCAGCAGGTAACTGTCAGCACATCTGAAAACCTCAATCATCACTGGTCAAGTTCACCAAGTGTTGGACGGATGTTGGGAAACAGGAAGAAGAATGAGCAGCGATTTCCAAATCTCCCTTTTCATCTTTTCTGGCCTTCGGTAGGAGGAGTCATAAAAAAACAAAGCACAGTCAACCACACCTGCAGGAAGGGGTTCATTTCAGCCTAGGACTTTCCAAACATTCATGTTACAGAAGCTATAATACAGTCAATGAAAAAGAACTGCTGGCATCACTTTTCCCCACAAAAATTACATAAAAATGAACAAAACATTAAATAAACATTATTATTAATCATTAAATATATTAACACCAAAATCATGTATAAATTAGGAAATAAATGTACAAACTATTTCACAAAGTGCTTTTAAAAATATATACACAACATTCAAGAAATTCTTAATGTAAGACATTTCAGATTGAAGTTTTGGGGTGATACATTTTTTAAGTGTCCTTTTCTTTCAAAAAGTATTAATACAGCACTTACACGCACACACACTAATACAGCGCTTAACATACACATACACACATACTAATACAGCACTTAACACACATACACGCACACACGCAAACACACATGCACACACACACATAAAAGGCATATTCCCAGATTGGCAAGGAATAAAAACCATTTTCACAGTTACTTAAAATGTTTCGACATTTTCAATGGGAAATTTTAGGCCCCAATTGAGCTTGTAGACTAGTTTTATAAAAATTTCCAGAAAAGAAAGGAGCAAAAGAGATGACCCCCTAAAATGAAGTTGCTAATACTTGTCACTTAGCGATCAGAAACTCATTTCTGTAAAGGTAATACCGTCACATGGTCAGCCCTTGCCAGTGTTAAGGGTTTCCTAAACCCTATGCCTACAAGACATACATGCCTGCATTTGTTGGTATGTATCAGTTCTACAGGAAGGGGAGAACAGGACTGTAGCCAACACAGACAAGTCCTTCAGTCTAGCCCTCTAAGTGAAATAGTCCTTGCTCTGTTTTTCCCAGCAAGGCTGTCAAGATTAATTCAAGTAAAACCCACAAAAGTGCCTTGTACATCCTCACCCACTGAACTATGGGTGAGTTTCATATCGGTAAGTTCATATTCGAGAAGCTATCAACCGACACAATAGAGCCAGGTGTGGTGCATGTCTGAAATCTCAGGACTTGGGAAGTGGAGGCAGGGGGATCATGAACTTAAGGTCAGCCTTAGCTATTCAGTGAGTTTGAGGCCAGCCTGGGCTACTCAAGACCTTGTCTAAAAACACAAAACAAAACCTGGTTAGGTGATGCACCAGGCTCTGGATCCTTGGGTTTTTTGTTTTTGTATCTTCTTGGTTATTCTTAGAATTACACCAGCACTTATTTTGAAGCCCACCCCCTTCATAGTAACATGATTATTACTGTCCCAATAAAGGCTGAGAAATGCCAGTGCTACATTATATGTGGTATTTCCCTTTGATCGTACCTTTTCAAAAAGGCTGTTTCTCATGTTTTACACAGAATTAAAATGAGATTGAACATTCTAGGGATGTAATGAAAAAAGAAAAAACCCACTAAATTTCACTATATAAAACTTGTACTTTTCATTTAAAATAACATAATAAAGTTATTTCGATTTGTTAAAAATACGGTGTGGATTTCAGATTTCCCTAAATGCAAAGGAACGCTTGCTTAACAATCTGAACTTGTAAAATTTAGCATCAGTACTTCCAGTTCTCTTGAAGTTTAGGACCGGGCATACTCAAATCCTTGACATGACATCAAATAAACAAGGGCAAAGCCACACTACTCACAACACAGCTGGCAGACAGCGAGCCTCGCTCTGCAGAACACTGCCCTCCCTAGGGTGGGTTGCTCTCACACTGCCCTCATGGGCACGATTCCTCAGAATAGAGTCACTGACCCCTCTTCATTGTCTAATTTAAAGCCACACACTTTTGGGATCACAGGGAGTGGACGGACACAGGCGGTGGGTGAGTTCTGGAGAGGACAGCTCACGGTCTCTCCACATGAAGCACATTTTCTTTGTTACAGTGATACAAGAAACTAGCCCAAGACACAGAAGGTGTCCCCAAGCCCCATCCAGGCACAGGAAGATGGCCACCCAGGGTTGCAGTATGTGTGTCAAGCTGTGGGCAGCCAGTTAAAGAAACATTTATAGTCCACTCTGCAACAAAGGTGTGAGAGGAACACGCTGGGTCTGCTTACGGTAACATGGACCATGGTGTCTTTCAGATACTGTCTCATCACTGGCCACGAACATGTGATGGCAGTATGACCCCCCAAAGCTAGCTAAGAACATCTAGGAGGGGTGAGGGGCACAAACAGGACAACCTCTCCATCGTGTCGATATACAATACTTTACACAGCACCAAATGTCACACCATCACAGCCAGTAGTGCACGCTTGGCATCATACCCAGCATGAAATGAGCCTGCCTCACATGCAGACATGGCATTGGGCGCAGGGTAACCAACATGTCATGACTCATCAGAACTGCCACTGGCTTGTCCAGAACATACTACTGTGAAGGGTCCAAAGACAGCACTTGTTCCTTATTGCTGGTAATTTCCATACTGCCCCTAAAAGAGAACAAGACATAGATTACACCCCCTCAGTCCTGAGTGGCAGGGTCTACACTCAAGTAACAGGAAGCTTCTTCCCATCGCCAGAACCCTGGATGGGTGGAAAGTGTCCTCAAAAGCAAGTAGCTAACAGCCTGCCAAAGTCCACGAAGGGAGAGGTAGCACTTCTCTAATCCAGAAGTGCCATGTTTTAGCCTGACAGTCCCTCCCCCACCTTCTTGCCCAGTTTTGACGATCGTTTATCTGACCTGACTTATTTTTATCAGCTCTACTCACAGGCAATGCCTGTGAAGATAGCAGCGCTCTCAGTGATGGGAGATAGGGCCTAGCCATGTGCCTGAGCAGACATCAGTGGACCCTCCAGGAGGGGAGTCCGGTGCCAAGCTCCTTCCAGTGACTGATGGGGCAGCAAGGCTGGTGCCAGCACCAGGTTCCACTTTTAGGAAATGGTTAGAGTGACCTGGTTAACAGAATCAGTCAATGCAAATCTGAAGAGAGCACTGGAGCTGAATCAGCACGGCTGCAGAGTTGGAGGCTAACAGAATCCCGCACCCAGAGGAAGAATCTCCTGACGGGCACAGGCACTCAACCCCACCCGGCTTCCTTTCTCCACAGCTGGCAAAGAAGGGCTCCTGGGAGCCCACAGTGAAGAGTCAATGCAGAGCCAAGCTGATGGGTCTCTGGGGCCTGAACCCAGGTGGGTGAAGCAGAGGGCACAGCAGGCCCTGAGTACAACTGTCAGGGCAGGCAGCACCTCTGGACAGAGTAAGTCTAACTCAGTGTTAGTTAGCTGGTTACCCTCAGCCCAGCTAGTTCTTCCCACAGGGAATTATCGTGGTGCCTGGAGCTATTCCTAATCCTCAAACTGGGGAATAGAGTTGGGGAGAGACTGGCATCTATGGGTAGTGGCCAGGGACACTAGAAAACACAGACTATACACAGCAGCTTGCTGTGTACTTGCTTAAGTCCATCAGCCAAGTGACTGGGTTGGGACCTTGAGACCCACAGCTAAAACTCTTACAGGCCGCATTAAAGGTCTGAAGTGAGGACACTTTTCCCTGAGATGTCCCTACTGTGGCTTCTCTGGAGGCAAGTGTAGTCATGACCATTCAGTCTACAACTAAGTTAGCATGTCACTCACTTGTTGGTCCACAAATTCTTGAGATGTTCTTTTTTGGTCTCTGGGAAAGAGGTATCTGTGTCATCAAGACCATCCTAGCAACTGTAGCCCCAGAGGTTGCACACTGCTGCTGTCCTGGAAGCTAATCGGCCCCTCCTCCTACTCCTCAGGACCGTAAGAGAGATCCCTGCCACGCCTCACTTGACACTTGGCAGAAAGTACTTTCAGAAACATCCAGAAAGCTTGCCTGCTCATAGCCGTAAGGCCGCTGCTGCTGGGCAGAAGGTCCCGTCTGCGATGCTCTGTAGCTTCCATACTGTTGACCTTGGCCTTGCTGGTAGCTCGAGTACTGTGAGGGGGCTCCCTGGGCAGGGCCTTTGAAGACAGTAGAGGCTGTCAGGCCAATCATGACCAGGTTTCCAAGCTTGTGAACATCCAGACGCCAGGCACCTATCCTTTGGTGGGTAAAGCCTGTACTACAAGAGTGCTACAACTCAGCTTGCCATCTCTGACAGTCCTGTGAGGACTGGGGACTATGGCCATACACATACAGGACACTGAGGGCCTGTCCCCAGCACACTGGGGCTGCCACCTTGCAGAAGTGGGTGAAGGGCTACTCCAGAACCAGCTGGAGTCAGTTATGGTGGACAGAGTAAAGCAAAACCTTAAACTCAGGTAGAAAAGAAACGTCAGACTTCCTATGAAAACTAAGTTGAAGGCTCAGGAAAGGATTGATAAAGCACATCTGTGTGTGTGTGTGTGTGTGTGTGTGTGTGTGTGTGTGTGTGTGTGTGTGTGTGTGTGTGTGGTGCTGGGGACTGAACACAGATCATCACAGATGGCAGGAATCTACCATGGAACCACAGTCCAGCCCCTAGTGAACACTAGGCAGGCTTTTAATGCTACATGGCTGTAGCCTGTAAGCTACTGCCCAATGCTGTTTTTCTTTCTTCCCGCATGCATGTCTGCACACCACATGCATCAAGCAGAGGCCAGAGAGCGGCGTCGGATCTCTCCTGGCACTGGAGTTCCGTCAGTTGGGAGCTACCATATGGGTGCTGAGGACCAAATACAGATCCTCTGCAAGAAAACTAAGTTCTTAACGGCCGAGCCACCTCCCCAGCCCCCACTGCCGGCTTCTGAACTGCAACCGCTGGACTGGTGTAGCTGATGATCTTAGACACAGGAAGGCAGGGTACGGGGTACTCGGGAATCCTGGGCACAATCCCCCAACCTCTCCAGAAACTAACATCTGTGCCAAAATAAGCTTACTAAACATCTGCCTGCCTGACAATACAATGCCCGCAGCACGCAGCAGGCCCCAGGGGCCCTCGGTGAGAAGACACGCTGGCCGGCCTTACCGTAGCCTTGCTGCTGGCCCGGGTAGCTCTGCTGGTTGGGGTACTGTTGCTGGGAGTAGGTCTGCTGCTGCGCTGAGCCCTGCTGGTACCCAGTCTGTTGCTGACTGTACTGGGAGTTTCCTGAGGAAGAGGGGGGCACAGTCTCATTTCGGGGCGGTGTACAGGGCTCCCTGTCACCCACAGGAAAGCCATGGAATCCTTGCACCATGTCTCCAGAGGCAGTGTGTTTCCACAATGGCTCAGATATCATACTACATTTTTGTCTTTTTAGAAGATACAAATGAAAAGTATCTTTCATTTCAAATGAAATGAATTCAAAATGGGTGATACAGCTGCTAAGATAAAGGCTAACAACAGTACCACGCACCGAACTATCAAGTTCTACTCCACATGGTTGATCCTAATTGTCAGTGTGACTGGATTGAGAACCACCTAGGAGACACACCTGAGTGTGTCTCTGAAGGTGTTTCTTGAAAAGTTTAAGTGAATGTGGGTGGCACCATGTCAGGGACTAGGGTCCCAGACTGAATAAAGAGGAGAAAGTGAGCGGAGGACCAGCGTTCAGCGTTCATCCCTCTTCGCTTCCTGACTGCAGAAGCCATGTGACCAGCTGCCTCAGGCTCCTTCCACCATAGACTGTCCTTCAAACGGTGAGCCAAAGCAAGCTGTTCCTTAAGCGGCTTTTGTCGGGTGTTTCGTCCCAGCAGCAAGAAAAGTCAGACCCAGCCCTTCAGTGAAGGCCAGGGATGGGTCTGTGTGAAGTGAGGGAATCGTGAGCCCATGCACAGAGGCCACAGGACGATGCAGGTGGCGACTGCAGCATGTTTCTCCAAGCCAAGAGACAGCCAGACTGACGGCAGCCAGCAGACGCTGGTGAGGCCTGCAGCAGACCCGCCCTGAGCTGGCAGAAGGTGGGTCTGCAGACACCTTGACCTCAGATCTCAGGCCTCCGGAGCTAGGAGGCACTGAAGGCCTGATGCTTCAAGCTGCCCTGCTGCTATTCCGTCACTGCAGCCCTGGAGGTCGGACATCAACAAGCAGGCCACAGCCAGGACTGAGGGGATCGTCCCACCTACTGTGGGTTTGGTTTTAAAGGAATAAAACAGGAAAATGAATGCAGATGGTGAAAATCAAGTGCTGTGGGGTAATGCTCCTGTACACTGTAAAGACTGTCACTTGAATTGGTATAAAACGCTGATTGGCCAGTAGCCAGGCAGGAAGCACAGGTGGGGCGACCCAACTAAGAACGCTGGGGAGGAGTCGCCAGCCAGACACAGAGGAAGCAAGACGAGAATGTCGACTGAGGAAAGGTACCGAGCCACATGGCTAAACAGATAAGAATTATGGGTTAACTTATGTGTAAGAGCTAGTCAGTAATAAGCCTGAGCTAATGGCCCAGCAGTTATAATTCATATAAGCATCTGGGTGGTAATTTGGGAAGTGGCTGCTGGGTATTTGGAAGTTGCTGGCGGAACAGAAACTTCCGCCTACAATCAAGTCTGAAGTTGTGACCAGGCAGGTAGAAGTCTCAAAACTGTGGGCTCAATCAGTACAGACTGTTTGTCAGTGTATTATACACACACACCTCTCTGTGTTTCTTTCTTACAGAGTTATTCTAAGATACTAAAAGTCAATTATTAAGAAATACTCCAGGAGCGATGACTCAGAGGTTAAAGAGTGTGTGGCTACTCTTCCAGAAGACCCAAGTTTGGTTCCCAGAACACCATTAGGTGGTTCACAACCACCTGTAACTCCAACTCCAGGAGCTACAACACCCTCTTCTAGTCTCTGAGAATACCACCTGTGAAGGTGAATGAGTACGTACACACAACACATAAATACAGGACAGAAATAAATCTTTTTTTTTTTTATAGCTAATGTGAATGTATGTCTGCTAAGTCTGTGAATCTGTGACTCTCAACCTGCTTAGGACCTGTGTATCTCCTCTCACTTCCCCTTCTGTGGCATCCCATTGGTGACGCCTGTCAGCCAAGGTGGGCATATTTACACCCCAGAGATGGATACACAGCTGTCCCTCTCCCCCATTCCTACAGCACCACCACGGGTCTCTCCATGCTGCGGACACAAGCCCCTTACAGAAGCTACCTACTGGGCTCACAGGCCACTCGGCTGGAGGGATGGCAGCATTTGTCCCCCAGCATGGTCAGACAAAGCCTGTCCTGTTTCCCACACAGGGGTGAAGTGAAGTCCCAGTGTAGAGCCTAGCAAACCCCACCTCGTACACCTACACCACCATCTACCGCCATCAGTGGCGGGTGACTCTGCCAGCCCCAGGAGTGCAGTATCAACTGCTGGGCCTGCGCTGCGTTTACACGGGGCCCAGCGCGTGTCCCCACCCATGCTCCTTACCCCCCTCATAGTAGTGCTGTGTGGAGTCCTCAAACGAGCGGTCGTAGCTCTGCTCTGTGTAGGACGACTGCTGGTAGGCGTAGTCGCCGTGGCCTGCAAGAAACAGGGGACTTCCCGTCAGCGGGGTTGTCTCCTCGCCTAGGTCCGGGGGACGACGGGCTCTGCAGCAGTGAGTTCAGGCCAGGGGACGAACTGGCTGAGCCCGCCTCTCTAAGCCTCTCTGCTATGTCTGTCTGTCTCTCTCTCTCAAACGCAGACATCACCGTCACTGTGAGGCTTGTAGAGAGAATCAAGCCTTCTTGACAGCACTGGCTGTTCTCTCCCATATCCGTCCAGCTTCTGGGGCTTCCTGGGTAGTGGTGCTGTGACCATGAAAAGGCCTTTGGAACACGCTACCATCTCACACCAGGTACCACGGCTTGCTACAAGACTTGTCTCAGCCACCTATCCTGCTCTTATTTCCCAGTCCCAGACATGCACCCTATCTCATGCTATGGCTTACACCAGGGCCCTGGCTAGGAGTTCTCCCACAGACTTCCACTGTTCTCTCTCAAAATATACAGTTAAGATAGATATTTATTGAGACAGGGTCTCCTATTGTAGCCCGGGCTGGCTTCAAATTCTTAATCTTCCTGCTTCAGCCACCCAAGAGCTGGGAACATAGGCATGGGCTACCATACCCAGTATTTAAGATCACTTTAAATGCCACTTTCACAAATCTACTTAAAGGTGACAATTTGCAGAAGTGAGGGCAGGAGGCTGGATGTTAGGACCCACCATGATAACCACACCTGTCAGTAATGGGTGGCTCTACCCAGCTCAGACTCCTACTACCTTCTGGGAAAGGGAAGCAGAAAAAAACCAAAGAGGTGGATGGTGTCCTAAGGCAGAAGATATTCTTGTCAGAGACCAGCCTCAATCACGCCCCAATGTGCTCCAGCTGAGGGGACTTGGGGTGCTTTGCTGGCAGGGCACAAGGATGTTAGGTCTGAAGAGCAGATCAACAAGGAGTTGCCAGCAGCATGTCTTACCGTCTGGGTAGTACTGCTGACTCATGGGCTCTGCAGCACCCTGGCTGTGGCTGTACTGTTCACTGTAGTACTCCTCCTGGCCTAGGTACTGCTGGGAAGAGCCTGTGGGGATGTGAGCAGACTCAGGACCAGCAGGCAGTGGGTGAGACATGCTCACATACCTGGTTCAGTGGCAAAACCATGCTAAGCAGCCTTGCTCACGGGAGGAACACACCCAGGACCATTCAAACACCAATCCTCCCTCTCCTCTTAACCCAGCTGCCCAAATACTCTGGAATCGGAACAACCACCACCTGCCCCTCAGCCCCCAACATCTGCTCCCTGGGCCAGTGGATACTCACTCGGTTCCCATTGCACCTACAGGCCAAGCATCCTTGCTCACGTCATGGAACAAACATTATGGCCCTTGTGGCTCTTCACCACAGGCTGAAGCAGGCCTCGCCTTACCTTGCTGGGAGGGTCGGTAGGGCGCCATGGGCCGCTGTCCCATCATGCTGCTCCCTTGGCCACCCTGGCCCATCATGGCAATGGGCGCCTGGCCCTGGTAATGCTGGCTCCCGCCCTGTGCCGAGTTGTAGTGGGACGTGGCTGCCTGCTGGTGCATCATGGAGACTGTGTGATGAGACAGAGACCCCAAAATAAGCCTGGGGGGGGCTCTTTCCCCTGCAAACCTCACTCCCTCCTAATGCTACTCCATCATCATTTCCCATGTTCATGTAAGATGGGGCTTTTGGATTCCAGGTCACACCTCTAACAATGTGAACTGCATCTATGCCCTGGCACGAGGTCAGACCTCAGCTGTTAGTACTCACGTTCGGCTAACAGAAGAGAGGCACTGGGCAAGACAATGTGGGTTCTCAGGGCCCACAGCTCCCGAGCAAAGAAACTAGAACCCTGTCCTTCCTTGTTCCCAGGACTTGTCCTGAAGGAGTCAGTGTCCTCGCCTCACTTCTTGAGCAGTGACCCTACAGCTACTATAGGCTGCACCTGCCTGTCTGCTGGCCCTGTCCTCACACTGCTCAGAACTCGGGAGCGGCACTACCCAACAGAGATGAAACAGGGTCCACGCCTGTCACTCTGGCTACTCAGGAGATGGAGGAAAGAAGATTCCAAGTTCAAAGCCAGCCGAGGCAATTTAGTGAGGGATGTAGCTCACTAGTAGAGCCCTTGCCTTACATGCATGAGGCCCTGTGCTCAGTCCCAGCACTAGGGGAAAAAAGGAAGAAAGAAAGAAAAAGAAACACTTCTAGTATCATGTTGAAAAAGTAAAACAAGCCGGGCAGCAGTGGTGATGCCTTTAATCCCAGTACTCTATGAGTTCAAGGCCAGCCTGGTCTACAGAGTGAGTTCTAGGACAGCCAGGGCTACACAGAAAAACCCTCTCTTGAAAAACCAAAACAGTGAAGCGATCTTCAATAAACACTCTAACAATGTGTTTGCAAAAATAAATCTGCAGTGTTATGATCATAGAAAACACTAGGAGAAGCCGGGCAGTGGTGGTGCAACGCCTTTAATCCCAGCACTTGGAAGGCAGAGGAGGCAGGTGAATTTGAACTCTGTGAGTTCGAAGCCAGCCTGATCTACAAAGTGAGTTCCAGGACCAAAAAAAAAAAAAAAAAAAAAGAGACTAGGAGACACTCCATCTTGTTTTGTAACATTCCTCTGAAACCCGTCTCTGATGCTCAGAGAACATCTAGATTGGACCTGCCATGTCCTAGGTACGTCATGATCAGCACCCACCATCACAGACAGCCTAGATCTGGGGCTGCTGCTCTGCTGAGAGGCCTGGACCTCCAGCTTAGCATTTGTGACCCTTCATCTTTCCTACTTCTGGATTTTGCCAGGGGTCCCCTGTGTGGGATGATATACCTCATCTGAGACCAGTGTTCTTCCAAGTCCCACAGCCAACGGCACCCTTTCCTTGGAATTCCTGAGGCCTTTGAGAAGCCACTCAGGGCTGAGTCCCTGTGTATCCACCCACTGGCCTGGTGGAAACACCTAGGGAAGCGTCACAGCACCCGCCAGGCGGGCCGCCCCTTTGGGGCCACACAGACAAGCTGCCTGACTTCCTAGGGTTTAGGAGCTGGCCAGGGCTGTGGGGCCAGGTGGAGGGCAGTACCTGGGTTGGACTGCATGTTGATGTTGGTCCGAGATACATAGTTGCTGATGGCACCTTGGCCTTGCATGGGAACGCTCTGTGAGGTGGGTCCCGAGTGGCTGTAGCCAGGCCCAGTACCATGACCGCTGCCTGACATGCTCATGGAGGTTGTGGGCAGTGTGCTCTGGGCCGTCTGTTGCATGGACACGTGGTTTGGACCTGCCGGGAGGGGTAGGAAAGGGAGTGTCAGGCACTGGAGGCCAGGTAACCACCTCAAGGTAAAGACACTAAGTTTCCTTTCTGAGGAGGAAGTTAATCCCTGGTCAGTAACACTGATGAAGTAAGCGATGAATGAACAGACACACACCATGTGTCTTGGTTACTGAGAGCCCGTGTAGTTATTAGTTCTTATACTGCAGCAATAGCAGCAGCAGCAGCAGCACCACCACCACCACCACCACCACCACCATAACACCACCACCACCACCACCACCACCACCACCACCACCACCACCACCACCACCACCACCCCCTGCACACCTTCAGTCTAGAGAATCCACACAGAAGCACATGTCTGTACATTAAGTGGACGGAGTCAAGCAGAACTGGGCACCTGAAGTCAGCTTGATGCCCTCTGCATATTTATTCAACCCCCACATACACTTAGGCTTAGCAGAGTCCCTGTGGCCAGAACAGTGGGAGGACAGAGGTGGGCACAGGCCAGGCCAGGCAGGCACTATGCCCAGCTCTGCCGGTTGTAGGCTGTCACTGTAGCCAGCCACCTACGGCTACCTTGGTGACATCGCTGCAGCAAACCTGCTCACCGTTACCGATCTGGCCCTGCATGAGGGAGGCAGGGGGCAGGCCTGTGCTGATGGCGTCGCCGAGGCTGCCCTGGGGGTGCAGGCCCTGGCTGGAACCGCTCTGGCTCAGCGCTCCCGGGCCCAGGCTCATGTTCTGTGTTGGTGGCTGTAGACGACAGGAAGGTTGGGAAAGGACAGTTAACTCAGAGAACGGCACCAAGAGCCACCCCAGGGACAGAAGAACGGCACAGCTACCTGCCAGCGGGGTACTGGGCTGAGACAGAGGCCAAACATGACATTCCGAACATCAATGAGCTGGCCAAGTGTCTCTGTCCACATCTCGTCAACAACCCAGGCCCTGCACAAGATGGCTTCCTGCACTTTTATCTCCTGTGTCCCCTCCCCTCTCATCCTCCACCTCTCAGTTAACCGTAAGGTGTAGAAGGGAGGTGGTTCCTCCCCTAGATAAACAGTGGTTCCAAAGGTTTGCACACACATGCTATCTGTAGCTAGCCAAAAAAGGGAGCCCCTAACCAGGCCTGGTGCTACAGCCCTATAATCTCAGCCAAGAGCTGGAGGCAGGAGGATGACAAGTTCAAGGCTTGCCTACAGCGTGAGTTCAAGTTCAGTCTGGGCAAAATAGCTAGATCCTAAAACTAAAATTTATTTTTAAGAAGTAAAATACAACTGAGGATACAGCTTCATATGCACAAAGCTCCAGGTTCAACCCCCAGTACTGAAAATGAGAAGGGGAGTGTCCAGCAGGACCAGCTGGTATCTGCAGAAGTACCTGATCGACATCACAGCCGACCAAGGTATAATGCCACTTATAATGCCTCCACTTTCCCAGGGAACAGTGGTATTGGGGTGAGCCATTCTTGATAACACATCTGCCCTGGCACCTTGTAGTCAGCCGTGGTCATTCTGGGGTTACCTCACTTGGCCACAGGCATATGATCCAACTTCACAGTAAAAATTTAATTAGGGGAAAATGCATTTACAGAAAATCAAACAGACAATAAAATATTTATGCTAACATCTGGAACATGGCTGCACTGGAGATTTTTTCCTTTCAACTTTCTTTTTTTTTTTTTTCTTTTTTCTTTTTGGTTTTTCGAGACAGGGTTTCTCTGTGTAACAGTCCTGGCTGTCCTGGAACTCCCTCTGTAAACCAGGCTGGCCTCAAACTCACAGACATCCACCTGCCTCTGCCTCCCGAGTGCTGGGATTAAAGGCGTGCGCCACCACTGCCCGGCTCTTTCTTTTATTTTTAAGCCAGGGTTCACACTGTGTAGCCTCAGCTAGCTTGGTACTCAGTATACTGCCCAGTCCAGCTTCAAACTGACAGCAGCCCCACTACCTCAGCCCCAGTGCGGGGACTAAAGGCGAGCACCAAGAAAGATTGTTTTTTTAAAGTCCTGGTAATGCACTCACATGCACCGGAACCACTCACACCATTTGGAGGGGCTTACAATGTATGAAGCCCGGCATTCAAGCCTCACACCACAAAAACAGGAAGCAAACAGAAAGAAGTGTTTACGATAAAGGCGAAAAGCTCCCTCCTGTCCATCACGACACTGATAACATTCCTAGGGCTGGTTCTGGGGTCACTTCTCCACACTAAGCCTTCTACCTGTCTGGTCATGTGATGGGGGGTTTTTCAGAACCCCTGATTTCTAATGCCTAGTAGTACTGGGTTGCTGTTGGTCACCTGACCACTTGAGATGACACAGCCAGAAACTGGTCGCAGTACCTACCGCAGGAAGCAGCGACTGCATATTCTGGTTGGAGTCTGCTATCGTGGCCAGGTAGACCAGGTTCCGGTGCAGGATCTGCTGGTACCTGTGGGAGAAGCATACAGGTGAAGCAGGACAAGCTGCCACGCCCAAAGTAGAAGCACAGTCTACCCAAGTGAGCCTTGACCTCCAGCCAAACTCCAGCAGGACACGGGCCCCAAGGACACCCAGGCCGGGCTGCAAATAGGCAGCTGCGGCTCTCCACAGTCCAGGAAGGGGTAGGCAGGGAACAGGTCCAGCCAGGTCCCAAGCAGGCTCCTGTTCCACGATTGAACCCTGGGAAGACCCTGAGATGTGAGCCAAGAGGAAGGTGGTACTAGGTCAATGGAAAAGGAGGAGAGGCCTAAAGAAGACTGAGGAAGACAGGGAACAGAGCCCTGCTCCAAAGTCAGACATCAGGCTAACTTCATAGCAGCTGATAGCCTGAAGAGCCCTATAAGGAAACAGGAAGGGGCCAGGGGACTGAGGACCCTGACCCACATCTCACCCACACATCACACCAAGCAAGGCCTCAGGTCTCTCAGACAAGATGCACCAGGTGGGGACCTGGGCCATGCACCCTTGACACCCAGGAGACTCAAGACCCCTCATGAAGGTGAGACAGAGGTCTGAGGTACTTTGCCCACACAGAGGCACAGGCTGTCTCTTGGTTGGGTCTACTATTGGCCCCATGGATGGAGGCTGTGGAAACTCCATCCCTCTTTACCCCAAGCCCTAATAGTGAGGGTTCCCACCGCACTTGTACCCTCAGGATTACATATGACCTCACTCTGCTCCGTCCGTACCCAAGAAAACTTTCCCAGAGCACGGAGAAGGCAGTGTCACAGAGACCAAGGGAGGGCTGGGTCTCGGGCTGGGTCTCGGGCTGGCATGGTTACTTACTGAGTGCACTCGGCCGTCTTGCCCTTGCTCTGGTAGTCCAGGATGCACTGGATCAGATGGTGGTTCTCATCCAGCATCTGAAGGGGAGGGAAGCACACGCCAGTCACACAGCAGCTGGTTCACACCCAGGACGCCAGGATCCTTGGGGAGTGTGTTGGGGACACTCACTCCAGGTCCCAGGCCCCTACCTACAGAGTGCCACAGACCCTCACATCACAACTGCACAAGAGGCAGCTTACATTTCGGTAGGCTATGTTCAGCCTGGGCCAGCGAGGAAGCCAAGGGGACATCGTGGCTAGTAGGAGGCGCTACAGATTCACAGAGTAGGCAAAACACCGAGGCGACTGACGAGGGAACCATGGGCTACCGATCTACAACTTCACCCCTCTGGATCTCCTCCAGCCCTGAGCTCAACATGAGAAGTGTCACAGAAAGCCCAGGCCGCAGTCTGCAGAGATCAGCAATGTTTCCAGACTGTCTTATGTGTGATACAGGGTCGACATTTGAAAACGATCTCAGTGAGTGATGGGTGAATGAATGGCCAGACGTGAACATGTTGGAGATGGACCATGGGCCCCCAGGACTGTTGCACAGGCTAGCAGCTCAGTTTCAAAGAGTAGGAAGCTGGTCCTCACGCCACCAGCTATAGCCTACACTCAGCATGGTATGGAACTGGCCAGATACCGCACAGGTGGCAAGACTGGAAGGCACTGGGCTGAGCTCCCAAGCTGTCTTGGAGGCGCTGATGTGTCTGTAGGAGAGTCTAACACTCTTACAAACCCTGTAATGTGAGGGTCTGACCTCCACAGACCCCAGGGTTGGTGCATCTGCTCTAGCATGTGCTGGCTTCAGTGACTGGTGGCACTGAGTGGGACTTCAGGGACACTGGGCATGCCTGGGGGTGCAGGGGACATGCCAAGCTTATGGGCAGGTGTGGTACACAAGAGCCTCCTACAATTTGACAGTCCCCTTGAGAAATGCAGAGGGAGAGGTGGGAGGGGACAGAGGAAGAAGTGTGCCAAGCCAGTGGGCAGAGGACAACCTGCAGGTCGTGTTGAGTCATCTTCTACCTGGAGTGACCAGTCTTCCTGGAGGAGGAAGCCTGCCTCACCGGCTACTTCCTGTGCCACACAGGGCCTTTGATCAATGGCTCACAACAGGCAGGCCCTTACCTTCACCGAAACACATACTTGACCTGTGCCTTTAGGCTGCCTGCTGCCCCTCCCTCTACTTTGCAGCATGGGTCCCTGAACTGCTTCCTGCCTGAGTCTAGCTCCCAGCACCACCCCTCAGCCTGTACAACTTCAGGGTGGTCTCCCCTGCCCTGCTCCTTTGCAGGTTAAAACACCTCGAGGTGACAACCTATCCTGGACTCAGTACCCACCATGCCCACCAGGGGGCACTGCCGCACAGAAGCTGCTGATAAGAGTGATCTAACATTCAGGGAACGACTTTCTCCAGGTTACGTGAAGAACAAACCTCTGATGCACACCCCACCCCATCCCCCACCCCCACACAAGGCTCCCAGCATGCTCTTCTTCAACTCCCCAATCTCAAGGAACGGCTCTCTCCAAGGATACAAAGTAAGCCCCCACACAGCATGCCTAGGTGTCATGTCAGCATCAGCCGTGAGGAAGACACAGAGAGGTCAGTGACAGCACCACTATATTACAGTCTAGCCACAAGGTGGGACAGTGCCGCATTCCACAGTACCTAGCATTTATAAACATGAGGAAATACTGGACGGTTACCATGTTTTAAGATTTTGTTCTTAGTTATGTGTTTGTGTGTTTGCTTGTGTGCTGGAGTGTGCAGACATGTGTGCAGGTACCCACAGAAGCCAGAAAAGGAGGGTCAGATCCCCTAGAGGAGTTACAGGTGGTTGTGAGCTGCCCAATGAGGGTGCTAGGAACTGAATTTAGAGCCCATGCAAGGGCAGTGCATGCTCTTAACTGCTGAGCTAAATCTCTAGCCCATGCTTTCTCAAAACAGCAAACGGGGTGCTGACTCGCGGGGTGCTGGCTTGCTTAGTTTAAAAACATTTACAGCAGCCGGGTGGTGGTGCTGCACACCTTTAATCGCAAGCACTTAGGAAGCAGAGGCAGGTGGATCTCAGTGAGTTCGAGGCCAGCCTGGTCTACAAAGCGAGTTCCAGGACAGCCAGGGCTGTTACACAGAGAAACCCTGTCTTGAAAAACCAAAACCAAAAACCAAAAACCAAAACCAAACATTCACAGGAAAGACAGGATGTGGACACAGACGCATGCCGAGAGCGCCAGACCCTCACAGACCTGCCTGCAGGGGACAAGCATGGTATACAATTCCAAGGACAGCGAGAACAGGACCTGAGCTGGCACTTGTGGATTTTAGAGAGAAAAGCAAAAGGAAGGAACTGAACTGCAGTCGCCAGATCTCAACCAGCTGTATGTAGAGCTACCCGGGAAAGTCCCAAGAGGCTCAAGGCAGGACTGTTCCTTGACTGCATCTTGGCAGGGATGGAAAGGAGGAGGGCAGAGAGTACCCCACAGTGAGGACTACAGAACCTCCAACCCTGTCCCCAGTCTCAACAGGGCAAACCCATGATGGCCAGCATCAGCCTACGGAGGAAGCCTGTTGTCTGAGGGGCAAACACTCAAGGCCAGGATTCAGGCCAGGGGTAGAGCATCTGTCTGTGTAACATGCAGAACTTAGGTCTGGTCCAGTCTAATCTCCTGCACTGCTTCTCAATGCCCAATACTTGGAGCAACCAAGATTATAAAGAAAAAACACCACACCTATATTCAAATCACAACTATAAAAACAAGTTACTATACAGAAGAAAGATAGCAGACTATTTAAAATTAAAACAAGAGTGGTATAGTTGGGTCTTGAGGAAGACTGATTCCCAATTTTCTGAGAAACCGCTACACTGATTTCCATAGTGGCTGTACAAGTTTGCACTCCCACCAACAGTGAGGAGAGTTCCCCTGTTCTACATCCGCTCCAGCATAAGCTGTCTGCAGTGCTTTTGATCTTAGCCATCTGACAGGTGTAAGATGGTAGCTCAGAGTTGTTTTGATTTGCATCTCCCTGATGACTAAGAATGCTGAGCAATTCCTTAAATGTCTTTCAGCCTGTTGTAGTGGTGCACACCTTAATCCCAACACTCAGGAGGCAGAGGCAGGCGAAACTGTGAGTTAGAGGACAGCCAGGAATACACAGAGAAACCCTGTCTTGAAAAATAAAAACAGGCCTGGAGAGATGGCTCAGTGGTTAACAGCACTGGCTGCTCTTCCAGAGGTTCAATTCCCAGTAGCCACAGGGCAACTCAAAACCTTCTATGATGGGATCTGGTGCCCTTTTCTGGCATGCAGGCATAAGTGCAGACAGAATACTTACATATAAATAAATAAATCTTAAAAAAAAGCAGGGTGGTGGTCGCTCACACCTTCAACTCCAGCACTCATGAGACAGAGACAGATATTGCTCAAAAAACCAAAACATAACACAAACAAACAATATTAACACAGGGGCCGGGAGGATGATTCAGAGGGTAAAGGTACATGCCACAAAACTCATGAACTGAGTTCAATCCCTGGGACCCACACTGTGGAAGAAGAGAACTGTTGTGATTGTTTGTGTTCTGACAAAGTTTGCCTGCAGATCAGACGGTGGAGCTAGCCACTGGTTAACCATAGAGGTCTGCACAGACAGAAGACAGGAAGTGATATGGCTGGGTAGAGAGAGAAAGTGACAAGGCAGGGCACAGACAGGATCTCGGCCTTTTTGGTCTGAGGATTTGGAGAGGTAAGAGGTGACTGTGGCTGCTCCTTTGCTTCTCTGACCTTTCAGCTTTTACCCCAATACTTGACTCTGGGTTTTTATTATTAAGACTAATTAGGATCACGCTACAGAGAACTGACTCCCACAAATAGTCCTCAGACCTCCATTCCTCTGCCATGGCACCCATGCACAGGCATACTAAATGTGGTAGAAACCACAGGGACCCCCACACACACACACACACAAAATAAGCTCTTGGAAAATATTAGTGAAAACAAAACAAAAGCTGGGCATGGTAGTGTGCGCCTGTAACACCACCACTTGGGAGGCAGGAAGGGTGTCAAAAGTTGAAGGCTAACCTGGTCTACATAGTGTGTTCTAGGCCTGGTCAAAAATCAAAACAGAACAATAGGGCTGGAGAGATGGCACAGGGGTTAAGAGGGTATATTCATCTTGCAGAGGACCTAAGCTCAATTCCTAGCACCCACTCAGGGAGCTCACAAGTGCCTTGAACAGGCTATGGAAACAAGATGACCAGCTGCCTCCAGCTCCTGCCACCATGGCTCCCCTGCCATGATGGCTGAACCCTTAAACTGTAAGCAGAAATAGCCTCTTTAACCTCTTAAGTTGCTTCCTATCAGGTAAGGAGAAAAACAAAAAACAACAACAACAAAAAAAAAAACCCCCGAGACACTGCCCACTACAGAGGTCCATGATCTGAGGATATTTCTAGAAGGCTGATAACTAACCTAACAACACTCTCAGGAGAGGGCTGCAGACCTACTGCTAGGAGCCAATGAGATGCCTTGGAACGTTCACCCCACTGCAGAAGATGTGAATTAGCCATGTGAGCTTCAAAGCAGTCCCAAAAGCACAGGCAGGACACGTGGGAGGTACAGCCTTGTAGCCTCACAACCACGTTCACCACGTATATCCAGTTTTCACAGACTACACACACAGCAAAATACTTGACCACAGATACAATATATTGCCACCTTCCTGAGACAACACACGTCAGTTCTGGTCCTGTATATCTTTGGATCCTTAGAAAATTGAGTTAGCACAGCTCAGCACAACCAAATCATCCTGCGTCCATGAGAATTTCCATGCTGAAGAAAGACACAGATGGCGTTAAAAACCCAGCATGTTTGGATGACTCCGAACTGCGTGCCAGAAAACGCCTCTTTACAAGATTCTAGACTGGCCAGTTTTGTAGCAGGCTTTTTTTTTGGGCCACTAACCAGCTCCCAAATAAAGCCATGGAGACTTCTTATTAATTATGAATGCTCAGCCTTAGCTTAGGCTCGTTTCTTACTAGCTCTTATAAATTATTTTAGCCTGTCTCTCTTCATCTACGTTTTGCCTCAGGGCTTTTTACCTTTATTTCATTCTGTATGTCTTACTCTGCATCCAGCAGCTGCCTCGATGACCTTGGGCATCTCCCTTAGTCTCTTCTCCCTTCTCTCCTCAAGCCCAGATTCCTCCTCCTACTTATTCTCTCTGCCCACCAGCCCCGCCCATCCCTCTACCGCCTAGCTATTGGCTGCCCAGCTTTTTTTTTACTAGACCAATCAGGTGCCTTAGGCAGGCAAGGTAAAACAGCATAAACAAATAATACAACACATTTTACATAGTTACAGCAATGTTCTTCTACAACACAGTCTTCTACCAACAGAGTCCTTGCACGGAGTGACCTGGCCCCTTCTCTACGCTCGGTGCCTTTAACTCAGCATCGTCTTCACTCTCAACGTGGGAGACTGAGGCCCAGGAAGCACACGGGAGCCACAACAAATGAAAGAGATTCTGAGCCCAAGAAGCCCGAGTAGCCCCTGCCTTGCTCTCCTGCAGCCCAGAGGACCCTACATACACATGCTTAAAACAACTGGGTCCTGTCCACAGCCTGTCCTACACAGCATCCCATAGTCCCTCTCCCTCACCACCCACACCTCCAGGCCCTCAATTCTTCTTTCACATGCCACACCCTAAGCTTCAAGGCCTCAAGACAGCAGTTCCATGCCTTATCTGCTGGTGGTCATACCTAGCGTTTATTGTACCTGCTGGACACAACATGTTCCTCACTTGTAGCTTGGGGACTTCCTGAAGTGGCCCTGGGGCTCCAAGCACAGAGACAGGTGCCATGCAAGCCCACTGGCTCAGAAATCTAGGAACATGCTAGGGCAGAGTGCCATGTACCAAACAGCAGAGGTGTTCTCGCCAAAGCCTCACAAAGGGGAGGGGTGTAAGCAGGTAGGGGACACTGACTCCTGTTCCAAGTGCCTCTCCCCTTTAGACTTGGGGACAGAGGTAAAGGCAAGCAGCCTTTGGCCACAGATACCTTCTCTGGAATGTCCGGCTTCACTGAGCAGCAGGTTCCCAAAGAACCCTATCCCTGCTTCTCTCCATCCTAGGAACGCAGGGCTTAGGTCGAGAACCATGCAGGGTGGTCCCTTGCCTGACAGAAGGCAAAGAAACCAAAGGACTGTCCCCACCCCAAGGCGGACTCCAGACAGTAACGAAGGGCTATCATTCCCTCCCCATCCCGGGAATGGGAAGAGAGGCTCTGTGCTCTTCTAGGGAGGACTCTTGCTCAAGAACAGCTACCCAAGAGCCATTATTCTGCCATTCTGATAGCAAACTAACTTCCACAAGCCAGTCAACACTGTGGGGACAGCTCTAACTTTCCAAGTGACCTTCCTGACTGGATTGGCTGTGCAAGCCTAGAGACCAGAATTCAACCCCTGGAACCCACGGACAAGAAGGAGGAACTGATTTCACAAAGTTGTCCTTCTGACTGCTACATGTCCACTGTGGCATGTACACCTGTGCATGTAAAAAACAAAAACAAAACCCAATAATAATAGCCAATACAATCATCAACAGATACGCAACTTTTATTGTGTAATTGTTGTGTGAAACAGCAGGGGGCGTCCAGTTGTCCTCACCAAAGCACAGTTGGGACGGAGTACATCTCTCTCAGGTGCCAGTGCTCTGTCATCACAAGGTCACCTGCTCCAGGTCAGGCCAGCTCTCCAGGCTTCCGCTCTGGGTCTTCACTCCCTGCTCCATGCAGGCCACCTCTAGGACTATTCACGGCTTGCTCAAATTTCCTGACCTCACAGAACACCTAAACTTGGAAAGTGGGCCATCTACAAATTAATGTTACCATTATCCTTCTAAGAGGGAGAGAAAGAGACAAGGAGATCCAGGAGGAGGAAAACAGAGACCTCTCTGCAGCCGAGGACAGCAGAGGTTTTGGCAGCTATCAGAAGCTGAGGAGGTGTGAGGCGGCCTCCCTCAGGACTGCAGGAAGGCAGGCAGGCAGGCAGCCACTCCTTCACACCCGGACAAGGTGAATGAATAAAGACTGCTATCTAGGGAAATTTCGGGACACTCACACATGCGCTTCGGCAGAGCATGGACTCCACAGTATGCAGGGTGTACTAGCTGCACCCAAGTCCCATGCAAAACTAGGGACCAGCAATGAGTACCTCAGTCACGTGCTAACTCACACGCCACAAACAATACCTCAAAGTCCTATCGTGGCCTTGGGACTGTGGAGAGAAGATTAGGAGGGACATTCGTGTGGGACTTTGAAGGTTGAGCAGGACCCGAGAACAAGCTGTTACTTCCTTTGCTTTCACTATCTGCCAGTCCTCGCGGGAATCCCTGGCTTTCCCCGGTGATCTTAACACGGGCAGGTTAGCACACATGGCCGGTGCGCCGAGTACATGCACTAGAGGTGGAGGTTAGGGCTTTGTGACCGCTAGACACGAGTTCCACCACTAAATTATATCCCTGGCTCTTGGCTTTCATACAGGGTCTTGCTATATAGCTTGGGCCACCCTTGAACTTGCCATGTAGCTCAGGCTATCCTTAAACCTGTCATCTTCGACTCTGCTTCAGAATGTGATTTCAGTGGTACATCATCAAGCTAGGTCAAAGTACACATTCCCCTCAAGCCTTCCTAGACTCCCGACAAGTACCCTGACAGTATGAACCGAAGACCCACTTCCAAAGATGCACAGGCTGTTTCTGCCCTGGACCGAAGTCAGCAAATTTCCCCTCTCTGTGGTCCTCCAACACACTCTAGCTTGGAGAAACTGAGGAGCTTTGATGAGTAGGTGTGACTACAAAATTCTGGACAGATGCTGAAGCCAAAGGTTGCTTTGAAAACAGTGACTATCAAGCTCCAGAGTGCCAGCACACCGTTGAGTCTAGCAATGTTGTGTGTGCTTCCCTTCCGGCAACCAAGGCTGGACCCAACCCATGGCCACAGCCACGGCAGCCCCTGGAGCCGTCAAGGAAAGGTTACCTCTAGCTCTACCACTCAGCCTCCGTAGCTTCAGTTTCCTTCACTAAATCACTTCAAAAAAAGCGGAGTATGATAAGATCTATAAAGCCTTGAACAGTGCCTGGAACACCATGGCATCCCACAGCTTTCACAAAGTCGATAAAAACCCACACTTGAAAACCTGTATTTCTGCTCTGCTCCAATAATCTCCCCTGCTCAAAGCTGGCTAGGGCTTGCCAATTGCGACAACCATTATATTGCTAAGGAGCAGGACATGAGGAGGATATGGGAAACAAGTGACAAGATGAGGAAATTCCCACAAACCCCTCCGGTGGTCATGAGGGACTAAGAGGCCAATGCCCTTGGGGGACCTGACCGGCTTGAGGGAATTCACTCTTCTGTAGAAGAAACCCGAATTGAGAAAAGCCAGAGCATAGAAGATGTTCAGAACTGAAAGACAGCCAGTAAAAAGCTAGTGTCCACGTCAAAACTTAAAGCTTTGTTAGAGATGTCCCCAGACCCATGCAAATGTTTTCTCTGGAAAACAGTACCCCGAACTAAAGGATGGGAATGTAGGACGAACCTCCGTTGTCTTAAGTCTGGGTGCAGGCGGCGAGGCTCGCTGATGCCCAGTGACCCGAGCGGGGGCGGGGCTGCGCTCGCCTGAGGTCCACCGCGTGCAGCGAGCTCGGGACACCGCTGCGGGCCGTGGGCATGGCACGCACACTTTGGATGCGTTCCTTTGTGCCGGGCACCGCAGTACCTCACGAGAGCGGCCAGCTCGCCGCAGCGGCGCGCCTCCAGGCTGCCCGCGCCCCCTCTCCACTCGCCAAGCTGCGCGCAAAGGCGCGCGACCGTCGCCACCAAGGCTGTCAGCGGAGCGCGACGAGCCCCCGCCCCGGCTGGAGGAGCCGCGGGCCCCGGCGTCCCGCACTGTTGCGTTTGCTGCCAGGGGCGCTCTCTGAGGACACCGCGGGACGCGTTCCGGGGTCGCCACCCCCTGCGGCCGCCCGGCCCCCGCTGCAAGCGCCTCCGGCAAAGTTGGCGCAGGCTCTCCTGGGGGCGCGCGGGGCCGCCGTCAGGGCTCCGGCTGCCAGGCTCTGCCCCGGCTTTGTTCGCGCCCCGCGCCCACCTTCACTCCGCACCCCCGCGGCGCTGCCCACCTTCTGGATGGTCTGCTGTGTGACCTCCCCTTTGCCTCTCGGCCGCGCCGACGCGAAGGCCACGGACATGGTGGCGGCGCGGACTCAGCCCGTGATCATTGGGGTTTATTCTCCGGCTGCGCCCGGCGGC